AATCGTTTTGGATAGATACCCTTCAAACAAAACTAGTTGTGATCTATTTTGTAAGTAAGATGATATCCATTTGACTAAGTTTGTGTTGAAACCCATATAATTTAATTTATATATTAGGAGTTCATGGTTAACCCTATCAAAAGCTTTACTAAAATCGGTATAAATTGTATCAGTTTGTTTACGCTGAACAAATTCTTTTATTACTGTTGACGTAAATTCTATAAGATTTGTTGTAGTTGAAAGACCACTACGAAAACCATGCTGATATGGACTCAATATAGATTGAATTTTCTGTGAAATTACTGCAGTAATTAATTTTTCAAACAATTTTGGTATGGCACTTAATTTTGCAATTCCTCTATAATTTGACACATTAGTAAGACTACCAGACTTATGTAAAGGTATAATATAAGATTTTTTCCAAAAAGTAGGAAAGTGACCAAATTTAAGTGAATAATTAAACAATATAGTTAACGGAAGTGCTAATGTTTCTGAACAATATTTAAGAATTATATTAGGTATGCCATCAGGTCCTGGACATTTAATCGATTTTAAACTACGCAGACTATTGGACACATCATGACGTTGTAGAAAAGGCATACAAATTTGATCAGCCTGTGATAACTTATAAGGATACGAATCTTTAATTTGGCAAGATGTACTGGAATAGGTTGTGGCAAAAAAATCTGCGAAACATTCAGCAATATCTGTGCCTGTGACAAATTCTTTATTGTTATATTTCAATACTGAGGGCTTTGAGGAAACTTTTCGTTTTAGATTAACAAAATCATAAAAAGATTTAGGATTGGATTTAACATTATTTTTAATCTTGTCTAGGTAAAGATTATACAATCGTCGAGACTCTAAAGTATATTTAGATCTAGCAACAGAGTAATTAGTATAGTCTATTGTTAAGCCTGATTTTTTATATTTACGAAAAAGCTTATTTTTAGAATTTTTTAAACTTGATAACTCAGGGGTTATCCATGGATATTTATTTGAATTTTTAACTCTAGTGGTTGGAACACATTCCAGTTTAAATCTATTTAAAATATCATAAAATTTATCAATTACATATTCTAAATCTGTATGGCTGTTACACAGGCACACAGAAGCCCAATTTATGGAGGAAATGAGAGTATTAAGTTTTCGAAAATTAGTTTTTTTTGTAATTAAGGACAGTTTTAAATGAGTCGGACTGACTTTCTTCAATTACATAACTGTGAGTCATGGAGATATATAAAGTTGGATGGTATATATCTTCAGGAGTGCATATTGGAGGAATTCTGAATATATCAAAATGCTGTGTTATATTTACAAACGCCAAATCAAGAATTTTGCCATGCGAATTTTTTACACTGTTTATTTGATAAAGATTTAAGTCACACAAACTATTTACAACATCAAATGTATACTGGGTACTGTTCATTTCAGATGGCAAAGGAATCAAAGCTTCAGAATCTGGCATTGGAAGCCATTTAATGGAGGGCATATTAAAATCACCAAGGATCAGAATGCGATCGGAATCTTTCATTATTTCAGTAATTAAATTTATTTCTGATAAATGCTGATTATAAATGTCAAGTGAAGATGAGGGGGGAATATAAGAGCAAGTTACAAACAATTTAGATATGCCCAATTCAATGGAAACACAAACAAATTCTATATCAAGAAAATCATTTAGATCAATTAAATTAGTGGTATATTTGGTATCAACTGCAATAAGGACGCCACCACCTTTTTTACAAACACGATCTTTTCTAAATATTTGATATTTTGAACATAATATTTCACTATTTAATATAGATGTTTTTAACCAAGTTTCGGAGAAAACCAATACATTATAATTGAAACCAATGCTATCAGTATATAAACTGGTTAATTTTGTATTAAGCCCCCTTACATTCTGATAGCAGATAGAAAATGAGTCATTTAGTTTTTTGGCACCGAGTCTGGTCTAAGAGGCAAATGAGCTAAATTATCGGATCTCTCCACAAATTCTTTAATAAATGCCCTAGCAGGCCAAAATTCTTTTAAAATCAACTGTACAAAAATATTGTCAGGCACAACGATTTTGAAAGAAGATCTACTTTCAGAAAATGCAGATCGGAGCTTATAACATTTGATCTTTGGACAGGTTGAGTTTTGCCAGTAGCAGTCTCGGGACGATCACTAGTGATAAGTGAAGGAAATGATAATTCCTGTATGTCACGAGTAGATTGTGAGGTTTTCTTCGAAACCTCACTATCAATATTCATAACATCAGGATTAATTACCCCTTTACCTATACCGCTGTTATCTACCGGAACTGGGTGTGTAATAACACTGGCATACGACTGTTCACGTCCATTCTCAGTTGTATCAGTGATATTAACTGAGACCGGTTGTGGAACAGTGTTCTCAACAGAAACTATTGCTTTGCGACTAGGCATTCCCTTAGTTGGTGCCTTTTTCGCAGCCCTTTTGCGTTTCTGTCCAGAAACTGACGGTGACGACACAAACTCATCTAACTCTTGGTATTTCTCAAACAATGTAGAGAAATTCTCAAATCGGAGTGATAATGAGGAAAAATCTTTTTCATCGATGTCAATTCCGACTGCAAATCCTTTACAAAATTATAAAAGTCTGCAGAGAGTTTCCTGCATTGCACACAACACCAACGAACACCAACATTATTTCTAATTGTGTCTACTACTTTTGCATTAATCCTAGCACATTTTGCATGCCATTGATTAAGACAAAACCAACAGGTAACACACAATTCATCCTCAGCAACAATATTACACAATTCAAAAGGGCACGACATTTTCTTTATTTTAATTATAACTATTTCTTTTTTAATACACAAGTTCCAAATATTTTATTTAAGATTAGATCTGTAGCTGGAATTTTTGTTATTTATATTTATTCTTTTTTATTTATTTTTTTTTTTAAATGTTGGCAACTCTTTTGAGATGACAAACAAAACAAGACGATAATGTTACAACAACTAATTAGCTAATGTAACAAAAGAAAGAGGATAAAAGGAAAATGTAAAACTACACAATTTTAAAATTGATATAACTTTAAAACACAAAACAAGATTTTAAAACACTACACCAATTATCACTTTGAGTTACAAATCACTATTGAACACTTTTAAACACTTTTTTACCAGATTAATTAATTTAATAACACAATAACTATTAATTTTTTTTCAAAAGCATGGAGCACCACAATTTTTTGAACTAATCACAACAGGGTTGCCAACACGGCTATTGAGTAGTTCTCAGTTTGGTTTTCGGCGACGATGTAGTACGACCACGCACTTATTATATCTTACTGACATGATTAGAGATGTATTTAAATCATCTGATGTTGGGTTATTATTGGGCCTTGACTTGTCAAAGGCTTTTGATTCGATCAACCATTCCCTTTTACTTGACAAGCTGAGGTTTAAGTTTGGTTTTTCATCTTCTGCGTGTCGTTTAATGGCTTTATATTTGGAGGGTAGGTCTCAGTTTGTTGTTCATTTGGGTGTTTCGTCTGAAGTTTGTAGTGTCCAATGTGGAGTCCCGCAAGGTTCTGTACTGGGACCGTTGTTATTTATTATGTTCATTAATGACATTGTGCACTCAGTTGTTGATGACAGGTGTTGTCTGTTTTTGTATGCAGATGATATTCATGTTTTCTTCAGAGAGGCTGATATTGCTGGGTTGGGTTGTTTCTATTGTTTTGTCTCTTTCGTCGTGGATTTCGCTAAAAGGCCTTATGATTAATTGGAATAAAACTAAAGCTATGCTGTTCAATGATCATGGTAATGGTGGTTCTCTTAATATTACTGTGGGTTCTGTGTTAGTGAAATTTGTTGATGAAATGAAATGTCTTGGTATTATAATTGATCGGAAGTTGGACTTTAAGAGACACATTGATTCCTTGCTTTGTCGCATAAGATTTCAGCTGCGGAGGCTGTATTGTCTTAATGCTTATTTGCCTTGTCATGTTAGGAAGAGAGTGGTTGTATCCTTGCTGCTATCGCAGGTAAATTATTGTCTAGAGGTAGTCTCCGGCACTACTTCTTCTCAAATGCAACGTATCCGTAGGGCGGTAAATTCGATTGTTCGTTATGTGTATGGCTTGCGTCGTGGTGATCATGTTTCTTGTTTTGTTAATGATCTCCTGGGATTGCCATTTAGCAGCTACGTTGATCTTCGTATTCTTCAATTTCATTACAGTGTTATGTGCAATTTTGACTCGCCTCTTCGTGACAATTTTGTGTTTTGTAGATCATCTCGAAATCCTCAATTGTTGTGTCCAAGGTTTTCGTCCTTCATTGGTGAGAGATCATTTGTGGTTAGGGCGGTGAGATTGTGGAATCGGCTTCCTTTGGCCTTACGTACTTTTGCCCATACCAATTATCTGTTTAGGGTTAAAGTAATTGAATACCTTCGCCTAAATATGTAGGCTATGTTTTTGTAGTGGTTGCGTCGGTTTATTATGGGTTTTCTTTTTGTTTTTCTTTTTGTTTGGGTATAATGTGAGTTACTATTTATACTCTGTTTTGTGAGTAATAAAATAGTTCTTTCTTATTTTTAGCTCGTTTCTGCTACACTTTTTCACTGCTCTACTAGACTATTGTTTAGTTGGTGATGGTGAATCGAGGTGTAGGGTTCGAGCTTCTCGTGAATTATTAAGATAAATTATTAGGTTTAATATTTTATTTGTTAAGTTTGAATTAATCATTGAATTTGTATTATGTTAGGGTATTGTAGATAGATAATATAAGTTATGGGCCCTGTGGGCTTACTTATATTTCTTTGTAAGGTAAATAAATGAAATGAAATGAAGTACAATTAGGTATCGCAAAATCTATAGAATTCGTTCGCTACCAAGTTGTAGACTATCACATGGTCGGCTCAGACCGACTGTATCCTTTACTTACTTCTTTATTGTTTTTCACCATTTAAAAATATTAGAGGAATATAAGAAGAAATCAAAGTCACTGAGATTATTTGGCTTACCAGTTTGCAAATCGTTTAATGCCCTGTTTATTATATTGGGACTAGCACAACGTTGATGACCATTCGGATCAGGTGAGCCAGGGGAAGTGGGAGAGCAAGGTTCACTCTGTCTAATACTTCCCGATTTGCTGTCCATTCTTTACAGATTAATAATAAAAACGTATATATTAAATTTTGGGAGATTAAACGCTTTTCAAAATGTACTTACTCTACATGCCTGTGGCTAGCAATAAGAAGCTCAAAGTCCGGCCCAAACGACTGAATTGCGTCTACAAGAAGAAATCCGTGCACAGACATGCTTATATTTACTGCATCTGATTTTCGCGTAACCCCAGCTTTAGCCCCAATTACTTGTATTTCAGCTATGCTTTTCTCTCTTGATTGAATTTCTAATATAATTTGGTCTATAATAAATTGGATAATCGTCGTGTTGCCACTGTGTATAGCTTCGAAATCACTCTCAATGTTTTTTTCATCCAACTTTGAATTTTCCACCGAATTAAATAAGTCGAAAGTAATTGGATTTAGTATTTTTAAACACTCAGATATCTTTTGTTCATTTATATGAGCTACGATTCTATTAAGGTTTCCAAACAACGTAAAGGACGGGTATTCAGGATCTGTTGTGATTACAATTCTCCGTTCTAAATGGAGATTTATATTAAACTTGTCTAATAAATGATAACATGAAGAACTTTTAGCACATGCAAAAACACATTCTCGATTTTTACATACAAGTATTTGCAAATCAGTTAAATTAATAATATATTTGTCATAAATTTCGTTATGTGCATCACTTTCCAGTCCTGTATCATTGTTAATGACAAATCTTGAAAACAAGTGGTCATCCCCAGTAGTTGGATTTAGAACTGGGATATCTGAAAGGCTGGTTTTAGAACCCGGAGGTGTGGAACAAGGTGTCATAAAAAGCTCTTCATCGCTATCGACTTCACTTATGTCTACATTAGCAACCTGAAAGTCCACAGGGGAGCGTTCATTTTTAAACAGGTGAAAACGCCCGAAATCTATTATTACTACTGAAGTATTTTTGTCTTTAAAGTTTTCGACGCATATAATTCTTGGAGCTGAAATATCAATCTCAAAGGACCATTTTTTTCTGTTATCCTGTAAAAAAAAAATAATGAATGTAAGTTATGCATTTAAAAACTTTAATTACCTTTTGACCAACTAAAACACTTTTCCAATGTCTAAAAAATTTCAGGCGGGATATTTCCTTTTCTTTTGTAGCCAGCGTTACAGTTTTTATATTTTTTATATCTTTTATAGGCTGGATCAAAAAAGTAACTAACCACTTTAACGCAATTTCGTTATATACGATGTCCAAACTCTTAGACTTTATGATAAGGCGATAATCTGAATGGTGTTCCGGCGGATTTCTTTCATACTGCAACTGAAACCAAGGTTCTTCGCTGGCATGTGTTGCATCCCGCTTTGAGAAGAAACTTAGAAACTCAGTATAAAATGATTTTGGGTTTGTTGTTCCTTGGTTTTGTGGCTTAATTAGATAAGGGAATTCTGTAGAATGTGTTAATTTATCATTTAAATGGACTGACCCAAGTGATAATCCCACTCGATACGATGTAAGTTTCGGTTTAATTTCAATGAAACAGAATAAGTTTGTTAATTCCATATCCAACATAGTCAACTCTCTTTGAAACTTCACAGTCTTTAATGCAATTTTAACATCAGATAATGTAAAAGTAAAGTTTCCGAATATCACGTCTCGCTTAGAGAATGCTTCATTCTCAATAGATTCCTTTAGTGCACACAATATATCATTTTCTATGTGTTTATACGTATCGTCGTTTACTACGGCTGCATCCTCGCCAATTGTGTTATCTGAAACTCCGTACCATCCAAGCCAGTTCGGAAACCAATGATATAGAATATTTCTCCCTTGTACAATAGTGCGTTGACGAGTGTTCATACCCTTGGAACATACGTAATCGCAACATACTTTTCGAAGTAGCTTTAAGTTATCGAGACTTCTTCTTTTTTCTATATTGATTTTGAAGTGTCTCTCTTCCTTTGCAAGATTTTCCGACGGATTTATGAGCAGACGTTTATAAATCAACATATATTTAATATTTTCTCTTGCTAATTCAATTTTTTCATATGAAGAACATATAGTATAACCATGGCACATTGCGGCATATTTCCACCATAACTTTGGGTCGACCGAAATTGGAGTCAAAGGTCGTAATATCTTGAATTCCCTTTTTTGGGTTATATTTTGGAGTTCATTCAAGCATCTAACGATTTCAGTGTATTGAATCTAAAAAAAAAACATTATTTTAATTAAAATTAATGTTATACATTTATTAGATTATTTTAAAAAACTTAAATTTACAATAAACAAATTTTATAAAGTTTTAAAGAAATTTTTACAATATGTGTACCATGTGTGTAACTCTAATAACGGGAAATTGCCCAATTGCAAGGTATACTATAAGATCCCGTACGTTTTGCTGAAAATATCTTTGAAAGGTGAAGAACAATCTCAAATCACATATAAAATACTTAATCTTCCTAAAAAATATTCATTTAATGCGTCTACAAATTTGATGTACCACATCATTATCAAGCATACAAGCAAGTCCTACATACTTCGTAAGTGAACATTCACATTAATGGAAAATACAATACATACAAAAGAAGCTTACCTCTTCTCGGTCGCTAGATATCTATAGTAGAACTAATTTCCCATTCCGAATCACTTTTTTTTATCATACATATACCTATGTACAACAATTTAGAGATCTCTTTTTTCCGAAATGTCTAAACGAATTGAAGAATACTTCGCAAAAGCAGAACAAAACATTGACACAACATTGTCTATATAGCTTCACGTTTTCTTATGGCCCCCATATAACTGTATCTCCCAAAATTCGGTACTTGGACGATTTAATTCACATTTTCGAATGGAAATGTTTAACATTCGATACTTAGAGATTGTAAGTTCTAAGTAAGTAAAATTGTATATATATGTCACCCTTTTCTTAAAGACCACAGTACCACTCGATATTATACGTTAGGAGATTTAAGCCACATTTTAAAACGGAATTGTTAAAAATTCGGTACTTAGAGTTTGTAACGGGTTCCACCTCCTTTAGCAGAATATTGCGTATATAGGTTTACCTATAGCCTTCTGTTCCTCCAGGTACTCTGTATTCTGATAATTTTAGACACTTTTCACGGGAATCGTTTAAAATTCGTTACGTTGAGTTTGTAATGGGTTCTGTGGCAGATGATTACTGGAATACCCCCAATATTTGGTATTTTGACAATATTAGCCATATTATTAGCAGCTTTTATACCCTCTGCAGACATAATATGGAAGGTATATTAAGTTTGTCATTCTGTCTGTAACTCATCGAAATAATCATTTTAGATCCAACAAAGTATAGGTATTCTTGATCAGCGTAAAATTCTATGTAGATTTAGCAATGTCAGTCAGTTATCACGCTTGAGTCCAAACGGCAAGTGTTAAGATGCTAAAATTTAGGATAGAGTTGTATTTTATCTATAGGCAGATCAAGTTCGAAGATGAGATATATCGGCCATCGTCTTCACATAGCCCCATACAATTGTACCCCCCATATTCGATATTTCGACGATTTTAGCCGCAGTTTCTAGCGGAATTGGTGCAAATTCCGTATTTGCAGTTCATAATTGTTTTTATCTCCGTCGCAGAACATTTTCTATATAGGTCCATATTTTCTTATAACCCCGATACAATGGAACCTCCCCATATTTGGTACTCTGATAGTTGGCAACTGGACAGCCTCCTCTAATGCTGGGAGCCTCGGGAGTCTTAGCTCCTTGCAACAAAAGCGAAATTGGCCTGTACGATTCGCCTTTGCACCCGACCCATTTCCCAGGCTTCGGTCACTATGTGGGTGGCTCCCGACGTATCTAGTTGTTTCAGTATTAGCATTGAGATTCCGTCTGGGCCCAACGCTTTGAATGACTTAGCGTTACGGATGACATTGCAACATCACCCATCGTAAAATGTGATGGTTCCTCCTCGGCGGGAAGAGATCTGATACGACGTGCTCTTCACTTCGCCCTTTCGCTTTCGGGGTGCTTGACAAATTATCTTTTAAATTACTCAGCGCACCTCTTGGGATTAGTCACAGTTACGTCGTTAAAAGTGACTGAGGTCCTATCATCCTTTTTTCCAGTGTTCGAGAGCGATTTAACCGTTACCCAAAGCTTACTCATATCGATTCCAATGTTGCAACACTTCAGATGGTTTAGTCACTTTTTCCTCTTATGCTACTGTACCAACCGGTTGACTTCCACTGTCAAATCACTGATTCTAGGATCAGTAGGGTTGGAACGACAGAGATCATCACCCTCAATTGATAATACCGCAGCCTCTGCTGGGAAATTTGGTTTTATCTTGGGTATTCGGCCAGCTGGTATATAGGGAGCGGGTGCAGCTATGATGGTGTTTCGGAAAATCCTTCCTGCTACCCGAACATCAGAAGCGTTGGGCAGTTCTCTAAAGTGACAGTTGGTGAATTCTCTGAAATCTGGCCAGTGAACTTTCCCATGGTTAAGAAAAGTGCGGCGTTCAGAGGTTATGAAATCGGGCGACCTGCTTATGGAGACGATTATCGGGGGATGTTCTGAGCCAAGAGAAATGATAGATTGCCAAGTCACGTCATTTATCAAACAGGGTGACACTATGGTTAAGTTTGGCGATCTGTCACACTCTCCTCTTATTCGGGTGGGTGCATCCTCGTTTACATCCTCTGCTCTGCCAACGCTGATCCCCTCTTGTAATTACCTATGGCGGAATGACACAACTCATGGTGGGCATTAAAATCCCCTAGTACCGGGCCTTCCAACAATTAACTAATATCTGGCAAAAAACGCGGTTCATATCTATTAATCATTTCTACCTCGTTCCGCACTTGACTGGGAGTGGCAGTTCCAAGCGAGATCTGGTCTGTACCGAGATCTGGTCTGTACTGAACAGAATCGTGTAACAGAAACGCTAATACCCCACATCCACTTCTGGTGCGATTCTTCATCAATACGTTGCAACCATAACAACGTTGTATGGCTGCAATTTTCATTCAGCTTGCGATCTTAATATTTCTCCGATTCATAAATTCCACTCCCTCATCAATTTTGCCTCGGATTCCGTTGATTGAATTGCAAAAACGAACAGCAACATGTGGCGTAAGATACTGCGGTATTGGATGCTGTTCGGAGACCATACTCCGCAAACGCCTTAGTCCGGAACACCGAAACAGACCCGTGGTGGATGACTTTCTAACAAACCGAGCAGAACCAAGGTCCGGGCTTTCCCTCAATCCCGGCAAGGACCAATAAAATCCGGAGCAGGCATTCCGGAATATGCTGATCCAAACGCAGAAAAATAGACAAACACAATCATATTTTATTGTCCGATTAGCCGTGATAGCAGGGACTGGAGGCAAACAAAAAAAAAATGATGAAAAACGTTAAAGCAATATATACGAACACGATGGAATTCAACAGACATCGAGCTTGATAGCACTTACCGAGTCCAGAATGAAATTAAGAGGAAAGAAAGAGTTAGAGAGTATATCTGACTTAAAGATTTCATTGCTAGAAATATTGCTGGGTTAGCTCGGAAAAATATCCTACTGTGCACAATTTGCCCTTTGGTCTGAAGAACTTTTGAAAGTTTGCTCTATTTATACTATTGTCTCTTAATTCATGAAAGAGTTTAATACTAAAACTAAACAATAACTGCTTAAACTCTTTGTACAAACAATGGAAAGTCTTATAGGCAGGTTTTTATTTTCACTTTTTAAGGAAATTAATTTTCCTATAAGTAGAAAAAAAATTACTTAATCGCAGATATGCAACCTATGTTACTTCATATACAAAATAAGAACATAGAATGCTCTAATGATAAGCATGAAATTACAATGTCATTTGGCAAAAAGCCTTAAAATTAAATGTCTCCAATTCTTCCAGAAATTGATACATAGTTGGAGAATGCTGTATCTAGACTGATTGATGTATAAAACTTTTAGAAGCAATCTAATCTATAATTTTTAAAACAAGTAATCATGAAAAATTAAATAGAAGCACAAAAGAGTTTTATTTCATAAAAAATCGTACGTGTGCGTGATAGCGCCTTCTCAAAAACACCATGATTGTATCTGTTGCATACAAATTACATAAAAATTTTGGTCCGTTCCTTAGTTTGAAGTCAGGGTGCCGACTCCTGACTCAGGATTTTCAAGAAAAGAAAAAAGTGGCTTTTGTTAAGGGTTAGGTTGTACATGTTATTATTAAGATCGATCTCTTATGTTCTGATCCCCAAACCATCGAGTTTAAAGACATTACGACAAAAAGTGTCAAAAAATGTGATAATTTTTTAAAAAAGGTGAGTTTGCAAATGATAATTATCCACACCCAAATTATATTTTGAACTTATTAGCCGACAATATATATACGAAATCTTGCTAAACTCCAATACCAAAACTGATTTTACAAAAAAAAAAAAAAAAAAAAATTATACTGAACTAAGTTACGGAGAAAACAACCATCTAAATCTATAATCTAATGCCTGTATTTCCAATGTGGAGAAGTCCTATTGGTGGATCTTCTTAATTTTTGTCTGTTTACCTTCGGGTTTGGTTCATCATTTGGAAGAAGAAATTATTAAAGATTTAATTAATTATTTCCTCTCATAAATAATTACTCAAATTTGAAACTTATATATCCTATCCCTATTTAACTTCATCATCATGTTTGTTAATAAAAAGTTTATAATAATTGGAATTTTTTTGAATTATTAAACCCCAAAGTTTTATGAAGTTATAATTAAAAACATCTACTAATGTTAAAGTATATTACAATAAATAAAAAAAATATATTAAATCTTAAAATTGTAAATCTTATATTTATTAATATTTTTTAAGTTTAAATTTTCGTTAATATAAATTGCCTGTGTTAGTTTAAACGAGTAAATTCCCTACATGCGGTAGAAGCCATGTGTAATACTTAATGTAGTGAATTTACAGACAGCCAATTTTCATTAAAATATTATATAACATCACAGCGATCCAATTACTGTAAGTAAACATAAACCAACCAACTTATATAAATTACATAAAATATTCATTTGATTAGTATTCGAAAAAATATTAGAGTAAGGGTCGAAATTTAAAGAAATTTAAAGAGTACTCGATTTGAACAAAGTGTTTATATTTTTTATAATATGAACTAGATTATTTTCATTGGAATGGTTGGTTGTTATTGTTT